CATTCAGCAACCGTACAATAGCAACACTGTCACCATTAGGGGCCTGCTTTGTTTTTGTTTTAATTCCTAAAAGTTTTTATGAGGATGGCTTCTGTAATTCTTCAGCAGTGTGCTCAAGTCATCCTGAGCTGAATGTAGTCCCGTCAGGCACTGAGCTTGTTGGGAGCTAAAGGAGCACATTAAGTCATCAGCAAAGCAAAAGCTGTCCCCAGTGCATAGCCCATGCATCGACCTGCTGCTCTGGTGCAATATTTTGTGCTATTTGTTTTTTTTTCCCACCCCTATACACAATACAAATACTGGACGTTTACACACTACAACCACTTCTACCTTTCAGCACAGTCACTCCTTCCCGTCAGAGCAGCAGTGAGGTGTGAAGTAATTTCAGCACTGGGGGAGATGCCTAAAACTGCCAAAAGTCAAGCTGCGAGTCCCTGAACTGCAGCAGTTGTCACTAAAGGGTCTCTTGTGTGAAAATAGCAAAGGCAAAAGAAAGATTACCCTGAATTTAAGCTGCCTCCTGCTTTTCTTTTTTTTCTGCTTAGGGGGACAAACCCACAACACTACAATCTGACGTGACTTCCTTCAGGATAAATGCAACCTACTTGTGAACCAGGAATTTTGAATAGCCCTACTGAGAGTACAACTTTTCCTCCTCTTTTCTTAAACAAGGTTGAGTTGTTAGGTTACAAGCAGTCTGACTGCAGATAAAAATTTTTAGGGCCTGGTGCTGTTACCTTTCTTGTGAAGAAGCTACTTTTTCAGCTGACTTGCTACTTATGCTCTGTAAAACCTCTTCCCAACTTCTACTGCTCTGTCACCACAGTCACCGGGGTAGGGTTTTCATCAGCTGGGGGCTCCTGGGGCTTAGCTCAGATGCTCCACAGCAGAGCAAAACCCCTGTACCAAAAGGAGGGGAAAACAAGGAAGGGGGTAGAAAAAAAATAACAAAAACAAAAAAAAGCTTTCTGTGGTTCATGAAGCAGGGGCTTCTACTTGTGCTCAGTTTCAAGTCCACTAGATGAGTCAAAAAAGATGTACACTGAAAGTGGAAAAATGGCAGAAAAATACAGAAGTGTTTCAACTGGCTCCTACTTTTCCAAAACAGTCAATACTGAGTAGGATGTAGTCTGGCCAATACCTGCCAAGGAACTGAACACAGATGGAGAAAAAACAGCACTTGTCATAGCAGGGAGAACCACCAGCTGCCCACCAGGCCTTGCACGTATCAGTAAACAGAAATGCATGTACAGAAGCCCAGACTGGTAGGGGTTGGAAGGGACCTGTGGAGATCATCTCATTCAACCCCATTGCTAAAGCAAGGTCACCCAGAGCAGGCTGCCCAGGATCATCTCCAGGCAGAGAAGGAGACTCCACAACCTCTCTGGGCAGCCTGCTCCAGGGCTCTGGCACCCTCACAGCAAAGTTTTCCTCCCATTCAGATGAAACCGCCTGGATTCCAGTTTGTGTGTGCGCATGAGCGCACACAGACACACACACACCAATGAGCTAGATTGAAGCCATGTCTGCTCTGAAAGGGACACATTGATTTAATTCATTACATTTTTCATCTGAATTGGTTTCACTCCTCCCTTGAAACCACCATCACATCCCTTGTACCACTCAACTAAAACACATGAAAACAACCTTAAACTCAAACCCCCAGCCCTCGTGTCAGCAAGTTTTTAATAAACTGCTACCGCTCTACTTAAGAAAATCAAAGTCAAAGGCAGCCTCCCTGAGCATCCAACCCAGCTCCACCAACAGCATCATTTCCCAAGAGCTCTGAGGTGACAGGGCTGATCCATCTGCACAGCAGCTTTACCTGTGGGTCAGTGCCAGCCTCATGCCCCTGCCTGCACCGCACTGCTGGGACTCGCTGTAAGGCCGGGGCAGCCCAGCGGCTCCAGTACAAACCACAGCAACATTGAATGGATTGGGTTGGAAGGGACCTTAGAGATCATCTAGTTCCAGGCTCCCTGCCATGGGCAGGGACACCTACCAGGCTGCGCAAAGGCCTCATCTAACCTGGCCTTTAACACCTCCAGAGATCCACAACTTCCCTGGGCAACCTGTTCCAGCAGCTCCCCATCCTCAGAGTGAAGAACTTCTTCTTAATTGGTAACCTAAAGTTACTCTCTTCCAGTTTAAAGTCCTTACTCCTTTTTCTATTGCTACAAGGCCTTGTGAAAAGTCCCTCCCCACCTTTCCTGCAGGCCCCCTTCAGAAAGGGGGGTGAGCAAGCAATGTGGAGACCTTTTCATCATTTGAATGAGTCACATTAAGTCTAAAAAAGCAGAGGGACTTAAATTTTTTTAATTTTTTTTTTTTTTTAATCCATGCTCTGTTTCCTCCATGGCCAATACTACGATGTGCCCCACCTCCCCAGGGAAGAGACCAAAGGGGCAGTGGTGAGGCTGTTGATCACGTCCCCACCCAGGGACTCAGCAAGACCCAAGCACAGCGAGCAGCTCGGGAAGCTGGGATTACAGAACCACAGAATGTCTTGGGTTGGGTCACTTGCTCCCAGGATATCAGTCCCTTGCCATCTCCAGCACCCAGCATGAAGTGGGGAATACCCTGAGGAGCGTCAGGGTCATTTTCAGCCAAGATGTTCACAGAGAAAGTGCTTCAATAAGATTATGAAAGGTCAGAGAGGAAGGGTTGGGAAAATCAGGGCTCTGACACAGGCAAATCACTCCAATGGCTGGGAGCAGAGAGGCCTCTCACAGAGACAGAGATGGGCCTTTCACAGAACAAAGAGCACACCAGGGTGGAAGGGATAAGAGAGGTAGATGAACACAATGTAACCACAAGGAGTCTTTATGTGGAGAGGCACCTGCAATATTAGATCAGAGAAAGGATACCAAGCCAAAGGGACTCACTCACCCAGCGCTGGCTCATCCCTGCAGGTCCACGTGCATGTTATCAGGACTGGAAGCCCATAGGGGTGCTACGCCAAGCTGAGGCCCTGTTCCTTTGGTGCATCCTTCCCACCACACCTCCAGCAGCTGCCCAGTCCTCAGACAGCACTACCAAAGGCCTGGAGAAACAGCTATGCTGCAAAATGAGGCCAAATCCCATGGGAAACATGAAATGATGGAACAACTTAGTAACGTGGTACTCATATCCACAGTTCCATCTGACAGTATGCTGGATTCCCAACAGTTCACAGTCATCCTGCTTCTGAAGGCCACATCAAGCTTCTTACCAACTTCTCTGGGATTGCCATGCTCAGCAGTGCTTGGAACAGGTCAGACTTGCTGCTCGTAAGGCGAGACCTAAGGAGGAAGCGAGAGGCCTTGTCAGAGAGGAATGACCCAGGCCATGCATGGTGGCCCACAGCAGACCTGCTCTCTACACTCACCATGTTGCACAGGCACCTGCTCCATCCTGGACAGCAGAAGGTACACGGCTCCCAGGTGGCAGAATCACAGAACCACTTTGGTTGGAAAAGACCTTTCAGATCAAGGCCAGCTGTTAACCCAGCACTGCCAGGGCACCACTAAAGCAGGTCCCTCAGCACCACATCCACATGGCTTTGAATACCCTCCAGGGATGGGGACTCCACCACTGCCCTGGGCAGCCTGTTCAGTCGCAGAAGAGGCACATTTATATGGTCAGTGACTTCAGGGTAGAGGGACACAGCTGAACTGCTGCTGAGCTGGCCTTCCCTGGCCACAGCTACTCCCACCCAATGAAGAACGCACACTGCTCAGCTTGCACCAGGTTCTATGTATTATCAGACCGGCTGACACGTAATAACATGGCTTCTTTAGCAGAAAGCACAACATTGATCAGTATTATTAAAAACAAACAAAAATTTAAAAAAAACCAAACCAGCCATACACACTAAACCGCACAGCTCTGCCAGCAGGTGAGTCTCTAGACTGCAGGTCCAGGAGGGCATTGTCCCACTGCACCAGCAGCCTGCAGCTTGAGGTCTGTGCCAGCTAAACCTAAGCAGTGTAGTCTGCAAGCACCTGGCCTCTGAGAAACCTTTTTTTAAAAAAAAAAAAGAAATACACATCATACTCCACTGATATGTTAGCCAACAGCAAGTACATCAGAACTCATCCAAAAAAAGACAAGTTTGCTCCTCACATGAAAAAAACATCCAGGCAAGTTGCCTTTCCGTCCCACAATGCGCAGTTCCACCGAGGCTGTTGAGAACAGCGCAGCTGACAACGCTATTTCTGTAGGTTCTTTTGGTTTTATAAGGATAAAAGCAGTTTGTAACCAAACTTTTTAAATATGAAGTTCCTAGGAGTCCTACACTTGGTTTTATGGCCTGACTAAACAGGCCTGTGAATAGGTTGATCAGGCTTTGTTTCCCTGAAGGAATAAACTGAGGTGGGGGTGAAGCAGGACATGACATGGACCAACTCCACCTGTGCTCCCTTCGGGCAGTGCAGAAAAAAACCCAGCAGCTTCCACCTTCTCTGCCAGCTTCCAAGATTTTAGTCATGCCAAGACATTAGTTCTGGTTTGGGGGCCTGCTTAGATGGGATCTAGTGAGTTTTGAAATTTGTGGAAGGGAAGCCAGCAGTAGTTTTCTGGAGAGGTGTGATGAGGGAAGACACAACAGAGGAGCACTGCTCCGGTGCACTGAACATTTCTGGAAACCATCTTGATTCTGAAAGAGATCCCTTTGAAAAACAAAGCCAAATAACCCAAACGTGGTTTCTCTCCGTGAACAGGGTTATAAAAACCTACAAACCTACAGGGACTAACGGTTACACAGCAGCCCAGTTACAGCTACCCGGGAAGGTATTAACACTTGTACACCTCTATATATTAATCTTTATAAATACAGTATTCTACACAAGGAACTGTAGAAAGACGTCATTCAAGGTTGTTTTTTTTCCCCTACAAAAGCTTGCGAGGGCTTTTGTTCAGATCTCTGCCTTATTTCTGCCAGTCTGCAACACTTGTCCTTCTTCCTCCTTCACCTCCCACCCAGTCCTCAGCGGCTTGGTTCCGTGTCAGGTCCAACCACGGTGCTTTGCCATTCAACGCAGTGGGAAGGAGACCGCATGAAGAGCTGCTCTACAACTTTCAAGGGTGAAAAGCTAAAGTGTGAGGCAGGTTCAGCTGTCAACAGAGTCCCAGGGGAAGTGGACAGTCATAGTTCATCCCTGGAGGACGGTGCGTTGAGAGATGACTGGGGGGGCAAAGCATCCTTGTTCTGGGCATCGCTGTGGATCTTGCCCTGCTGCCGGGATTTCCAGGAGTGTGTTCTGTCCCAGTCTGTTGACACAGTCTCGTTGTCCCAGATCGTAGAGGTCTCTGTGTCACTGAGGTAGCCCGGCTGGCCTGTGTAGTGGGTGGGGTAAACAAGCAGGGGTTCTGCTGAAAAGGCTTTCAAGTCTCTGGACTCGTAGTACTCCATGTACTTCGCTCTAAAGAGGAAAGAAAAATCACCAGTAACAAAGTGAAGGTTCATCAGTGTCACTGGTTCTAACTGTGAAACACAAACCTAACCACTGAGCAAAGAGGTCCCAGGAACTGGAGGAAGTTCCTGGGCTGGACTGTGACTCTCTTGCCAGAATCATGTGCCTTCCAACCATACACAATCCACACTATACAACTGCTACCAGAGAGAGCCAAGTTTCTCAGAACCATCCCACAAGTCCTACACCAGGTAGGGACCATAACCCTCTGCAGCAGTTCTGTCACATCCTTTGAGCTGTGTCTGGAGCTCTGATGCAGACAATGAAAAAACAAACACAGAAACACAGGACAGTTTGGGTTGGAAGGGGCCTTCAGAAGTCATCTAGTCCAATCCCCTGCACTGAGCAGGGACATCTGCAACTAGAGCAGGTTGCTCAGAGTCCCATCCAACTTCACTTGGAATGTTTCCAGGGATGGGGCATCAACCACCTCTCTGGGCAACCTGGGACAGGGTCTTGCCACCCTCACTGTGAAAAATTTCCTCCTTATATCTAGTCTAAATCTCCCCTTTTTTAGTTGAAAACCATCATCACCCCTTGTCCTGCCGCAACAGGTCCTGCTAAAAAACCTGTCCCCATCTTTCTGATAGGCCCTCTTAAAGTACTGAAAGGACACAATAAGGTCTCCCCAGAGCCTTCTCTTCCTCCAGGCTGAACAACCCCAACTCTCTCAGCCTGTCCTCACAGCAGAGGGGTTCCAGCCCTTGGATCATTGTTGTGGCCTCCTCTGGCCCTGCTCCAACAGGTCCCTGTCTCTCCTGTGCTGAGGACTCCAGAGCTGGACCCAGCACTGCAGGGGGGTCTCCGCAGAGCAGAGCAGAGCAGAGGGGAAGAATCCCCTCCCTCTCCTTGCCCATGCTGCTTTGAATGCAGCCCAGGATGTGACCAGTTTCTGGGGTGCAAGCACACATTGCCAGCTCATATCCAGCTTTTCATCCACCAGTACCCCCAAGTTCTTCTCTGCTCCGACCCAGGCAGAGGACCTTGCATTTGGCCTTGCTGAACCTCACGAGGTTCACAGGGACCCACTTCTCAAGCTTGTCCAGGTCCCTCTGGCAAGGGAGCACTGGGAGTCCCCCACCAGCCAGGCTACAGAAGTGAGACGCACCAACAGGATCTGCCTTCAGATCATTCAGCAAGATCGAGCTCACGCCAACCTCATCAACGGAGGCAGCCTACTTACACAGGGTGCTTGTTGTACATGACGGGCAGAAATTCATCTACAGGCAGCATCTTGCTGAACGGCTCAGCTCCGATGAGCTTCTGAGCCCCCTGGAACGAGATTGCGTACCCCAGGGTCCAGTACGAGTAATCGGCTTCCACCAGGTTCATGACATTGGGAACTGCCTTCTCAGGCTCCTGCACCTGCATCCTTTTCCGGCCAATGTAGCTTAAAGGGTGAAAAGACCATGGAAATTGGAAACAAAGCATAGCTGAAGCAATTAGGACCACACAACTGTTCATTTCAACCGGGGAAGGGCAAAGGGTCAATCCAAGAAGTAATCCCTGACCAGGTTCACAGATTCCTATCCTGCACCACTCCCAGACACCCAACTCTTAACTCAGTAGGCAGTATAGCTGTGAAAGACTTCATAAGGAAGCTAAGATGACATGGTCCAAGCCTCAGGACTGAGCTCTGTTCAGTTCCTCTGTCACAACAGCATCTTTAGACACTATTGAGACAAATCAACACTGCCCACAAAGGGCAGTAATGGTATCCAGTGGGCTTTCCAGCATCAGCCTGTCCCAGGAAGCAGCTCTTTCCTGATGGGAAGAGCCACCAAGAAGTGTCTGCCACCTTCCTCTGCACTCCAGCATAAACCTGCATCTCTATGACACAGCAGGTGCTGCTGACCTCCCCTGTGTACCCAGTTCCCAGCTGGCCAAGGGCCAGTTACTTACATAAGCTCCCAGTCTAGCTGGGCTTTTTCAATGTCATCCATCAGCTTCATGAGCTTCCTTTTGAACTGGTGTTCAAAGCGCACATCATCCTCAATAACAAGGGTCTTCTCCAGTTCTCGGTTCACCACCTGGAACAAGAGGGTTCAGAAGCAATCACAGTGGCACACATGGGCTACTTCCTAGACTCTAAAATTGTTGAAGTCTTCCTGACCTGGCAGGTAGGGAAGCTGAAGAACCACTCCCAACTCATATGGAAGAGCCAGTGAGAATAAGCCTCAAAACAGCCTGTGGCTGAGCATCTGCAACCTAGAAAAACCTTCCATCTGATATTGCACCACCTAGAATTAGCGTGACCACAGCAACTACCTCCTTGCAGGACTGTGCAGTAATTTTTGATGCCAAAGCTGCTGTTCAGAAAAACCACTTTGTTGGAAGAAAGAGCTCCTGGAGTCTGGGAAGGAGGACAATCTAGCGTATCCAAAGTCTGGCCCAACTCCCACCTTTCTACAATCTCCTTTCAGGCAGTTGTACAGGGTGATAAGGTGTCCCCTGAGCTTCCTCTTTTTCAGGCTAAACACCACCAGGTGCCTCAGCCGCTCCTCACAAGACATGTGCTCTAGACCCTTCACCAGCTTTGTTGCCCTTCTTCGGATATGCCCCAAAACCTCAATGCCCTCCTTGGAGTGAGTGGCCCAAGACTGAACCCAGTAGTCAAACTGCAGCCTCACCAGTGCTGAGTACAGGAAGATGATCCCTGCTCTAGTCCTGCTGGCCACACTAGTGCTTGCCTCTGTTGCCACATGGTTCTCCTTCTGTCATCAAGATGGCAGACCAAAGGATCTCGCAAGCCCATCATCCCTCAGACCCTGGCGTGCTGCTCTCTGTTTTGGAGACCCAAGTCTTTCCCCCTGCCTGCACATCTCACCTTACTTGAAACAATCCCTCCTGTTGATGTCAGGCTCCGTAACTTCAGCATCTCTGACCAGCACAGCCCAGATCCTCACAAGTGTCACTCCCCAGGTGACCAGGGACAGAAAGGATCTACAGCTTTTACCACCCAAAACAAGATCTCTTAGCTCAGCTAACAGAGCTCCCTACTGTTAAGTATATTTACAATATGCCAATTCAAAAAAGGCAATCAGCAGTGTCACTCACACTTGCTTCAGTCCAGACATAGAGCAAGGGAAAAAAAAAGACACTTTTTTTTTTTTAATACCATTTGTTCCTCAAAACTTTCTAGCCTTTCCCCTAAGCAAACTTGCTCCAAGCAGGCTATTGGGCAAACCCAATCATGAAAACATTCTGACAAAAATCACTCGGAGCTGTCGGCAAACAGAAAGTAGGGATGAGAAAGCTGGAGACTGCACTCAAGAAAACCCCCAGGCGCGATGCCCTCCAAACCAAGGAAAACAATTCCACCCTACACTTCCACAAACCTGCATTGCCTTTGGTGCTCTGCCCTAGAACCATGGAATCATTTTGGTTGGAAGAGACCTTTAAAATCATCAAGTCCAATCGTTAACCCAGGAGTGGCTGTGTGCCTGCCCATGGCACCTTCCTATTCTGCCACCCAGTGTCTCCTTACCTCCTTCCAGATGTAGTAGTGACTAAGGAAGCAGCCGATCTCTCCCCTGGTGAGTGGCCTGGAGGAGTAGGGGTCCCGGTAACCCGGGAGCATATCGATGCTCAGAGCTTTGAGCTGACTCGTGTTCAGTGCTCTGAGAAAGAGAGAATATCTATCACATTTTTAAAAATTAAGCAAATTCAAGTCAGATACAGATGCAACACAGAAAACACTGCTGACGTTCAAGAAGTTCCTGCACTTGTTTCACTCAAAAACTTGGAGAAAAAATCTTGATTTACATTTCTAAATCAAGCTGACAAATCATATCCTTAACTCTGCCAACGACTTCCCGTGGGACCATCAACTTGGCAGGTGCTTGGCTTATAGATTATTTTTCTGAGAGGTCTTGAGGAGTACTCAGGTCTCCACGACCACTAGGTGGCATGTGGGTTCCTAGCTCCCTGAGGCCTTCCTGCGAGTCCCAGAGCAAAAATTTCTGCCTTCATTTCCCATTATAAAAAGGTCTGAACACACCTTAACGTAAGCTTGGAAAGGCTGTGTCAGGGTTAACACTGTAGCACAACAGTTTTGTAGCATTAGGAGGGACAATCTTCCCACAAGATAATTGGTCTCAAACACTTTCACTGCTAACTCCTTCCAAGTGGATGGTTTGGGTTGGAAAGGACCTTAAAGATCACCTAGTTCCAACCCCCCTGCATGGGCAGGGACACCTCCCACTAGACCAGGTCAAAGATGGCCCTATCCAAACTGGTCTGGAACACCTCCAGTGATGGAGCATCCACAACCTCCCTGGGAAACCTGGGCCAGTGTCTCACCCCTCTCAGAGTACATAACTTCTTTCTAGTTTCTAATCTAAAGTTGGAAGCCATTACCCCTTGTCCTACCACTGCAAGCCCTTGTCAAAAGGCCCTCCCCAGCTTCCTTGTAGGCCCCCTTTAAGTACTGAAAGGCTGCAGTAAGGTCTCCCTGGAGCCTTCTCTTCTCCAGGCTGAACAACCCCAACTCTCCCAGCCTGTCCTCACAGCAGAGGGGTTCCAGCCCTTGGACCATCTTAGCGGCCCTCCTCTGGGCTCGCTCCAAAGGTCCATGTCCTTCTTGTGTTGGGGGCTGCAGAGCTGGACAGAGTACTCCAGGTGGGGTCTCACAAGAGCAGAGCAGAGGGGCAGAATCCCCGCTCTTGACCTGCTGGCCATGCTGCTTTTGATGCAGCCCAGGATCTGGTTGGCTTTCTGGACTGCGCTTGCACATTGCTGGCTCACATTGACCTTTTCATCAGCCAGCACCCCAAGTCCTTCTCCTCAGGACCGCTCCCAATTCATACCCTGTCCAGCCTGTATTTGTGCTTGGGATTGTTCTGACGCAGCTGCAGGACCTCACACTTGGCCATAAATTCAGCATGTTTTTAATCTGATTTTCATCTTTGTCTGAACCACACAGCCCTGGTTCCCTCATGGAGACTAATTGCAAAAGAAGACAGAAACAGAGCAAAACTGCCCCAGACAGACTGTTAGGCAGATAAAATTGGGATTCACTTCTCCCCTCAGCCCCACCGTCTCCAACAGCAGGGAGCTCAGGGCATCCAAGGGGATGGTGTTACGCTCCCGGGGGAGCTCAGCAACCCCAGCTGGGACTCACTTTCCATCCACGGCCTCCACCACCTTCACTGCGATCTCCTGCTCGTGGAGCGTGCGCAGCATGCGATCCCGCCTGTCCTTCCGGCGCTTCAGATTGATCATGAAGATCTGGGGAAAGAGAGAGACGTCAGCTTCCCGCCTTGGCAGGGAGGAAGGAAAGGCAGTCCTGATCCACCCTTCTCCAGCAGTCCCACTGGAAACACAGATCTTATGAAAATACCAGGGGTGTTTTCAATCCAGGTTGCTTAGAATTTGCCCAAAAATTGGGGTTGGTTTTGGGCTTAAAACTTAGAGACTTGTCCTCTTCCTAACAACTACTTTTAATGGATGTTCACAGGGGAAACATGCTCTTTGAACAGAGGTGAGAGGAAACCAGCTACTGCCAAGTTTATAATTTCCAAAGATACAGGAAGTTTTGATTTATATTAAACACAGAGTAACATGGCCACCTCCAGCCTCAGTCCTGGAAAATCACTGACCCACATGCTTCCCCAAAATGCTGCAACTGCTTGTACGTGGGATTATCAGTGGGACCACCACCCAAGTACAAGGACACAGCAAAGAGAGGATTTTTGTAATTACTCGGGGCACTGAAAACCCGCCGCTGGCCCTGCCAGAGCAGAAGGCCCAGCTGAGAGCCAAGACCAGGAGCAGAGCTGTCTGGGCAGGGCTCTGTCCAAGCCTTGAGGAGACAGAGGAGGGCAGAGGACCGAAGCCCTGATTTGCTGGTAACCTGCAGAGGGCCAGGGATATTTTTCAGTCCCAGGCAGACAAGCACAAGTGCAGCCTTGTAGCTTGCGGAGCAAAACCTCATCCCACTAAGAAGCAGATCAAATTCCAGCTCTGTGCAAATGCAAAAAATAATAAATTGGATAAATAAAGCCCAGCCACAAAGGACAACATGGAAAAAGCCTACACCAGCTGTGTCCTAAACACAGACGCTCAAACACATGTAGCCAAATCAGGCTGAGGCTTTACAAGTCACATAAACAGATGTAGCAGAATACACACAGCAAACAAAGGCTGCCCTGATCACCACAGCTCCCTCGGTCACTGTGCCACCACCACCCTGGCAGCTGCACACACAGGGGTTGCTGGTCCTGTGAGTAACACGGACACAGGTTCATTAAAGCACAGCACATCCCTCTCCAGCCTCCTCCCCTCAGTGCCTGTTCCCTCCACAACACGGGGCAGAGTTGGGAGAGGAATTTCTGTGGGGCCTTGGGGCACTACCAATGTCTGAAAACACCTTAATAGTTCACTTTTCCTTCAGGCTGTAGCAGAAAAATGTGGCGACCAAGCAAGGAGGAGGGAGAGCTGCTGAGAGCTGCCTCAAAACAGAGACAGTAAGCATGGTTTTCACCACTGCTGGACATAACCAGCCTGGGCTAGAACACAGCTGAGAACCTGGCACCCCAGTTGCTCTGGGCTCTCCAGGGTATCTTTCAGCTGAGAGAAATTGTTCCCTTCTATAAAGCAGGAGACCAGTTTTTGTCACAGAATGGAAGGCCTGCCAAGCTGCCCTGCACAGTCGGATGCAGAAAAAACAGCAAAAGAACTGGAAGTTAAATCACCTGGTTTTCAGACTCACTTCTGTCATCTCTTCCTGGCTGGATTAAAACATGGAATCATAGAATCATATGGGTTGGAAGAGACCTTTAAGACCATCAGGTCCAACCCTTAACCCAGCACTGCCAGGGCACCACTAAACCATGTCCCTAGGCACCACATCTACATGGTTTTTCAATCCCTCCAGGGATGGGGACTCTACCACTGCCCTGGACAGCCTGGTCCGGGGCTTGACATCCCTTTCAGGGAAGATATTTTTCCTCACATCCCTGTTAAGCATCCCCTGGTGCAACTTGAGGCTGTTTCTTCTTGTCCTGTCACTTGTTCCATGGGAGAAGAGACCAGCACCCTTGTTGCTACAACCTCCTTTCAGGGAGTTGTAGAGACCAAGGTGATCTCCCCGGAGCCTCCTTTGCTCCAGGCTAAACAACCCCAGTTCCCTCAGCTGTTCCTCATAAGACTTGTCCAGACCCTTCACCAGCTTCAATGCCCTTCTTTGGATACACTCCAGCCCCTCAATGTCCTTCTTGGAGTGAGAGTCCCAAAATTGAACCCAGTATAGAAGGTGTGGCCTCACCAGTGCTGAGTACAGAGGTATAAACATTTATATCATCAAGACAAGAAACACGAAGACTTCCAGGGCACTGCCCTGGCACACAAACCTGCACCTCTAATCAGGGGCCTTGTAGCAGGTACTAAGTGCCTGCAGACATGACTGGCTTCATTTTTCCACAACAAATGTCAGAGGGAAAGAACACTCCCTGAGCCCTTTCCCTTCCGCTTCCCTGAGCTCAGCAGAAGTTCTCCCCAAATAAGAACGACTATTTCCTCCTTGCAAAAAGTTTAAGTCCGAAAGATGAGTGATTGGAAAGAGCTACCTTTGTCACAAGGTGATATACTCCAAGGGGAACAGCTGGAAGCTAAGCTACAGGGAGAACCCAGATATTCTAAGTTACAAACAGGAAGACAAGGCAAGACAACGGCAGCAAAATAAGCTCCTTACTTCATCAAATCCCATCTTGTCAGGGTTCTTCGGAGGAACAGAGACATACTGAGAGGGTTCAATGGGAGGACGATCAACTGAAAGAGAGGAGAGATCCCAAGCATCACCCTCACATACAAGCTGCATTGATAGAACACATCTGCCTGTGTTTTCATGCCTAAAAAGCCTCAGGAAGCTGAGATACGACGTTAGTGCAGGAGTGGGTGTAGCAGAAAGCATCCACGTTGCCAAACAGAAGCCAGCAGCCACATGCCCAAAAGACCTTATGACAAAAATGAGGTTCTGCAGCATCCTTTCCACATTAAAGATGCATTTTTGCATTTAATATGTGGAAGTTTTCCCATCTCTAGAAACACTCCAGGTGAGGCTGGATGGGGCTTTGAGCAACCTGCTCTAGTTGGAGATGTCCCTGCTCACTGCAGGGGAGTTGGGCTAGGTGACCTTTAGAGATGCCTTCCAACCCCAACCAGTTTATGATTCTTTGAAGTTAAAGGGTTTTGTGAATGGGATTGACCTGACCATGAAGCAATTCCATTCCTAAGTAGAAAAGAGGTGGAAACTGGAAAACTGCACAACAAAGCAGTCAGCTCAGGACACAGATTCCCAGGGGGAAGGGAGCTGGGCTGCTGGCAGGAGAACTCTCCAAACATCCACTTGGGGGGGTCCATCACAGCACGGCACAGCGACTTACTCATCGCCTCAATCAGCGTGTGCACAAAGTTCTCAGCTTCTTCTTGCAGCGTCTGGTGCGACTTCAGGGGCATGGGAAGGAAACCATAGTGTTCACGATTGCAGATGAACATCTGTACTCCTGGGGATCACAGAAAAACAGAAATTAGAGTCAGGTCTTTCACCAGCACTTTTCAACTGCTCTGTTGCTGTGTAGCCACAATCAAACCTATGCCAGGACCTCAGTCCCAAGAAGTTCTGCCTCATAACCAAACAATTCAAAATTATCACAGTGCCATTTTCTGCTTTATTTGGCTGGCAGCAAGCGGCCTCTCCTACGAAAACAACTCCTACTTGCTCCCTGACAGCAGGTATTTACAACTGTGATCAGTTTTCTCCTGGGAGAGAATGGGAACCCGTGTCTTAGCCCAGAGAAAGGGTCTTCTTTGGCCTTTGCCTTCATGCTATGAAAATAATCCTACAGCAGAGGGCAGAACTGGCCTTTACCAAAAGCAGTGTCTGGTCATAGAATCCTTTAGGTTGCAAAAGACCTTTAAGATCATCAAGTCCAACTGTTAACCCAGCACTGCCAGGTCACCACTAAACCATGTCCCTCAGCACCACATCTACATGGCTTTTCAGTCCCCCCAGGGATGCGGACTCCACCATGTCCCTGGGCAGCCTGGGCCAGGCCTTGACAACCCTTTTGGGGAAGAAATTTTTCCCGATGTCCAACTTAAACCTCCCCTGGTGCAACTTGAGGCGTTTCTTCTTGTCCTATTTCTTGTTCCTTGGAAGAAGAGACTGACCCCCACCATGCTACCACCTCACAACATAAATAGATAAATAAAACAGAATAAATATGGAATGATTCTTCCAGTGTGGAGAAACCAAGTCTGGTCCCAAGCTTCAACAGCACACAGTTGACCCAATGTGGGCCAGGCAGTTGAGCTCCCCTGGGATCACAGGAGATGAGGCTGCAAGGCCCAAGGCATCAGTGTAGCTGCAGGGTCTGTCACTGGCCTTGCAAGGGATTCCAGCTGGGGTTTGCAGCCAAGCATCTTCCTGCTTCTGTTTGCTTTGGCTAGAAAACAAAAACATGTTCACCTGTGTTGGCAAAGGATTTGGGGGAATATATACGATAACCACCTTGGAAGTGCCAAGTCTACCACTGAACACTGTCCTCTCGAGGACTAGTTTTTACAGTGCCCTGAAAGATTAGAGGAAAATCCTAGAGACACCAGCAAGAAGTAAAGACCCTTTAAAAAGAGATGAGAATGCAGCATCCTCCTACTCAAAAGCTTTTGCAGCTGTTTTTTCAAGGAGTTGAATCTGAAGGCATGACACAAAGAGGAGATCCAAAGGCCCTCCCTGGGGCAGATACCTTTGCAAGGGAGACACTCACCCACTGCTGAGCTTCTTCACTGGGAATGTCCCAGCAACGTGTGATTAGCAAACTGCTGTTCCCTCTGGACTTACCAAGGGTTTGCTCACTATTGGCTGCAACTGCAGCAGCATTGAGCCTGATGTCACTCACATCAGAGACCTCACTCAAAAGCTACATCCAGAGAAGCCAAGGGAAAGTATTTCCATTGTTTTTCATTGAGCCCTGGTAAGATCTTTTATTAATTAACCACAATCTGAGAGCTGCTAGAACCCACACAGCCAAGGAGATTTTTTTTTTTTAAAAAAAAAGCAAACCTGCCTTTGTCTTTCTTCCCTCTCACCCTTTTTTTTTTTTTTTTTTTTAATGAAACAAGCATAAGCACCCCCCTTCTCTAGGAAATAAATGAAAAGCAGCAGACACTACCTGGTGGGTTGATGCTTTCATGTGTTAGCCCCCTAATCCTCGGTATTTTTAGCAGAGCAGAATTGTCTGCATTAATGACCCCCATGTTTCTACCATTTTGAATTCTGCAAGTAAATTGCTGGCTACACTACTTGCCAAAACACATTCAGCTGTCAGCTGCAATTTAGGTAAATGGCAGAATAAAAAATACTACCTGCTGACATTAATGGATTTGGCACTGATCTAATCAACTAATCTTATCTGGCTCACTGATCACCGGTCTTATCTTCCGCTGGCTTAAGCACAGTTAATCTGCATAGGGTCACGCCACTACTTCTGTTCCTTCTGGGATAAAAGCTACTTTAGAATGGTAAAGCTGCCTTAAAATGAGGAGGGGAACTCGCTCTCCTGCTCTGCTTTTCTAATAAAATGATTGCTCCAAGGGACAGAAAAGCTATAGATACTTGTTACTAGCCTTTGCAAGGCAGCAAGCAGGATTCACAGCCATGCCCCAAACCTACAGCCACATTCAGGCAACCTAAAGTCCCCCACAGCCCTGTGACCAGACCTTCCTGCTGGATGGCTCTAGGTCTTCAGAGCCTCAGGCTGAAAGGAAGCTCAGGACATCTGGCTGATAAATGCTGTCTTGCAAGTACCAGGGCTCTACAGAGTCCACTTTTGTCAATACAACACCCGTAAAGAGTTTTGTTCTGAGCCAGTACTTCCACCACAGGCCTCATCCTCTCAGCTGAAGTGCGATGGTCTCTTTGGAGCATCACAAACTAGCTGCTTTGAGCAGTACATTCACCACTGAAAATCAATGGTTTGAGGTGAGGTGTTAAGCTCAGTACTTGGCCTGTGCAAAAGCCAAAATTTACGACTTCAGGGAAGTAAGTGAAATTACTCCAAAGGGAAGTTTACCTCCAAGTCCACACATTTTTCACGTATCTGAACCTGGATGTCATCCTTTTTATCCTGGGTGACAAAACTCAGCCCAGGACACAAGCCAACAATCTCAGCAGTTCAATGGGCCAGACTGGTGAAGCAAAGCCTTTCATGTCATGGGTCAGTCCTGAAAAAAGCTGAGGCATTCTAGTATGGAAGGTAAAAATGATGGGTTTAAATCCCTGAAACACTTATGAAGCAGCTGGAGCTAATGTGATGCAGTTCCACACTCACCAGATGCTGCATTTCTGGGAGAGCCGACGGAGGGAGTAAGTAGGGCAGGTAGATTTGAAGGAGCCTGCTTTGCTATCCAGACTTAAACCTCAATTCCCCTCTGGAGACTATATACTGATGTCCTGACTATGAAAGTCAGGGCTCAAAGGTGCCCTGGAAGTTCACATCTCACCTCTGCCTCCCAAGGGCTCCAATTTCAGCTTTCCCTGTCTCTTCTCTACCATTCATCTTCCTCATTTGATGCCCCTCATCCTCTCACAGCTGGGTTTTAAAAAACCCTGCTTAGTCTGCCAAGACAACACCATCTTTTTTCGGTGCTGTCAGGAACTTCAAACCATAAACATTGCTGAAAGGAAAGCTACAAACAGCCGGTGGCTGTTGTGCTGGTCTGGAAACGGTGGGAAAGGCAATCTTCTCAGCTTGGCTCTTCTGCAGGAGTGACTGCCAACAACAGCAACAACAAGCTGTAATTCTCCACTTCACTTTCTCTCTGCTTGTCTGGCCCTCGAGAACAGCCCTTCCCCTTCTCACCTTAACTTTGCCTCTTTTACAAATAGAAGACAGGTAACACCAACTGCACTTCATTCAGAGGACCCACAAGTAACTTCTCCCTCAGTACTCCAGCAAACCAGTCATGAAGCTGAGCAGAAGTGCATTTCATTGGTGCTGCTGAGGTTTCATCAGTCCCTTTTTCCTTGTAAGGGCCCAGACTTTCCCCTTTTCAACACAGCAGGGCAAAGAATAATGCAGATCATGGCAACCTTATCTTTCCCAGGAGCTCCTTTCAGCTCTGACACTGTTACGTACAGGTCTGCCAGAGAGGACTTCTCTGGAACAGCTACCAGATCCACTCTCCAAAAATCATAGAATCATAGAATGTTTTGGGTAGGAAAGGACCTTTAAAGCTCATTTAGTCCACCCTCCACCCCCGCAGTAAGCAGGGGTATCTTCAACTAGAGCAAGTTGCTCAGAGCCCTGTCCAACAGGACAGCCCTATTTCCCAAGGATGGGAAATAACTGGGACTAAACATCCTCACCACAAGTACAAGCAGCAGCAGCAGCAGCATGCACTTAAGAGACAGTGGTTTCTCCAAGATGCCAGAGCTCTCTGCAAACACCAATAGCCATTCCAGACAAAGGAGGCCGCTGAGGTTGTGACTTGGCCTGAAAGGACTTCTGTATTTCAGGTCTAACTGAAATCCTCCCACTGTCTGGTACAAACTGGTTCCAGTATCAGTCAGAGTGGCACATACTTTTCCTCCACTATGCCCCAAGGAACTCAAGGCAGCTCAGTGCTCTAATGGCTCTCCTGAAATACCGATGATAAAACAAGCATGCAGAGATTTTACTGCTCGCACACCAGCTCTAACCTGCTCTTGTCTGCAAGAGATTTCCTCTCAGCACAGTCCAGACTCCACATACCACAGAGACCAGTTTGGGTTGGAAGGGACCTTTCAAGATCATCTAGTCCACACATTTTGTCTCTGAAACACAGTCCCCCTCCCAAGAATGGTTCCTGTGTCCTTTGAAGCTCACTGTCATTCAAAACCAGATCAGTCACTTGCTGCTGGTTATCCCTGACCAGATCCAAAAGAGGAAAAGGAATAGGGTCTTATCTCACCACTGAAGTCAACACAGGCCTGTGAACTCAAAGCAGAGGTCTGCACATCTCTACTACTGAATCCTCCCCAGCAAAGGCTCCAGACATACCTGCTTGGCGACTGGAGAAGGCAAAGACCATGATATCATCAAAGCTCCAGGTGTAGTCCTGGTGTGGGGGGTAGAACATCAGCTTGGTGGAAGCCTCTTTCCTCAGGTCAATGAGGAACGTGGAATGAATCATGGGGACAGCAAAACAGCCTGTTCTCTTCCACTCCCGAATCAGGGGATAATCCAAGGTCCTTCTGTAATAGCCCTGCAATCACAATGAGGGGCTGCTGTTAGACGAGATTTCTGTTTGACAGATGCTCCTCAGCAAAAGCTCTCACCCTTAGCCCTCCCCAGCACAGATGGACCAGTGCTCAATTCTCAGATTTTTAAGGGTCTCCCATTTGGAGTACTTAGAAACAATCTCCATCCCAAAAGTTCAAGCTTGACCTACTCTCACCTTTTTAGGAGGTATTGGTAATCCAAGCCTTTCCATTGCAATAGAACTTCAAACCTTGGACTACTGTATTCTCCTGCCTCTTCAAAAAACTTTTTGCACTTGCACCCTTTGGTCTGATACTGAAAGCTGCTGAGCATCCATGACATCCTTCATGTTTAACAGGCAAAAAGGACATTCAGTGTCTCACAGAATTGGATCTGCAAATCATTTCTGACCATGACTTTAAAAAAAAAAAAAAAAATAGATTTGCTCCACTGTAGTGAAGGCAACATCTCAGTCTCCATCAGCTGTGTAAGAATCCCTGCTTCCTCCATCCTGGGGCATTTAACACTCACTCCCACTCTTGAATTCTCCCCACAGAATCTGTCTGGGGGAGGAACTTAGAATCATACAACTCTTTAGTTTGGAAGAGACCTTTAAGATCACCAAATCCAACTGTTAACCCAGCGCTGGCAGGGCACCACTAAACCATGTCCCTCAGCACCACATCTACATGGCTCTTCAATCTCTCCAGGGATGGGGACTCCACCACTGCCCTGGGCAGCCTGATTCAGGGCTTGACAGATCTTTTGGGGAAGAAACTGTTCCTTACGTCCAGCTCATTCCTCTGTGACCACAAGCTCTGCCACCCTTCCAACACTGTGCAACACCCATGTTTGCAGCTCACAGCTGGCTGTGCAGGTGCAATATGTCTAAAGCTATCACATTTAGAAATAAATACACTCAGTTAATACACTCAGTTCCTCCAGAAAGAAAATCCTAATGCCCCAGTTAGACATCTGGACACGACTAGTGGTTGAATCCAGAGCAGATTCTGTTTTTCACAGAAATGATGAGTCACTAAGTTAAAGTTATTTTAACGTTATATTTTCCATGAACATCCCAGCAATGGTTGAGCAAATCACCATGGAACCACTTTACCCTGGGATTATGTAGAAGCATGGTGTGGTGGATTTGTCTGCTCAGGTACCTGTTGAACCTCCCCTCTGCCCTCCAGCTATCTAATCCTCACAGTATGGTCAGAAGATGTCTCAAACTCAGCCAGTCTGCTTTTCATGGAAGGAGAGAGTGGCCAGAGCCCTTAGTACCACTGCCATCAAAGGAAGAGTTAAGACATTCAACCTCTAACAGACACCCAAGAATGCCCACAGGTTACAGGTGCTGGAAACAAACCTCCCATCCTCCAATCACTCACTATGGGGTTTTGGGGCTTTTCACTCCTCATAAATCATGTGTAGTCAGGCAAGACTCCAACCTGTCAGCAGTGTTGCCATGCTCTGAGCTTCATGACAGCTGGAAGTCAAGCTGTCTGGAGCTGGGTTTGACTGCTGCTGCTCAGTGCCTGAGGCTGCGTTTCAGGGCCTGCTCCAGCTGTTACTCCCTCCCCAGGTCCCCAGGGAGAGCAAGGATGAGAGCATAAAGCTGTGGGACCCGAAAAACAAGCAGCAGCAACTACGCAAAAGAAAAATATAAAGTTGTAACTTTCCTTTTCATTTCCTTTTTATTTGAGCAGCTTGATTGACCAAATTCTGCACAATTCATTTGCTGCTTGTTTTTTTCCCCCCTCCCCCCCTCCTTTTCTCAGCTAATGCTGGTGATGATGGAAAGTTACTGCTGGAGAGGTAACACTGGGGGCCAGGGCTGAGGCTGGTGGGCACAGGCAGAGATCCACTTCAGGCTGTGGAGCAATGCTGACTTACATCAGTGGAAAACCTGGCTGTCCAAGGACTTGACCTCAGACAAAAAGGACAATGCCTTAGCTACAAAGTTTGTAGCTCCATTTTAGAACAAACTGACAGAAGTAAACACCACCACTCCACACCACTCTTTCTTATCAATATGTTTCCAAGAATTTGGAAAGCTCAGGACCTTTTTGCTGCTATTTTTACTCAGTTAGTCTAAACAACTCCTTGCCATAAGATGGCAGGGGCACAACAACCAAAATTTGTTGATTTCTGTAAAAGAAAGACTCCTAAGAGCTTTAAAGACAAAGACCTTCCAAGAGAAGGAGATTGTCAGAGGATACAAAAATATTTTTGGGAAGTATCATTCACTCACTTGTTTACCATGTTCTTATACTACTACTGATCTGCTCAAACCACTGCTATCAGATGGACCTTTGGTCTGATCCAGTACAGAAGTTTTCACCCTCCCTGTGGTCCCTAGTGTGTCCTCTGTAACACTGGGAGAGAAGAAGGATGTTTAACACCAGAAGAAGGGGGCAACCGAGTTTACTCTTTGTTTCACTCCAGCAATAATGACAGCAATTAGTATCTGGAATAAAGCAAGAGGGCACGGAAGGGCAGGACCGTTGAGCCTTTCTGAAGTACTCCTATTCCCATGAACCAAGGAAGCTCAAAGATGTATGTGCAGCTCAGGCTTAAACACATTTGTCTATGCAGTGGGGCAAGTTTGTCTTTATGAAGAGGGAGACACAAGACACAGGCATGGAAGTAAAATGGAAATTTTTAAGCTTTCCAGGGCCAAAGTGGACAAAAAGGGAAAATTTTCAAGATGATAAAAAATTCTTCTGCTATTCTAGGAGACGCACAGGTTAGGACCCTGCCTCAAGGGATGACAAAACACATGCCAGCAGCCCCAGGGAGAACAGGTCAAAAAGCTGATCTCATTATTGAGGCTTACCTGGGAGACAACAACCATTAACTACAGTCCCCATTTCAGCTTGAATGTCTTGGAAAGCCCAAAACCTTAGTCAAGAACATTTTAAAGGAAAAGAGATCAGCCTTTTTATACATTTGATTCTCTTCCTGAAACACTTTTCTGGACAAGGTGGCTGCACTGGGTTTAGCTGGGACACAGTTCATTTCCTTCCCAGCAGCCCACCTGGTGCTGTGGTTTTAGCCTGCTGCCCAAAACAGAGCCCAGAACAAGCTGGTGGTTCAGCTGCTGCTGATCAGCCCTTCCCTGTGCTTCTGACTCTGCCCTCCGCAGGGAGCGGGCTGGGGGTGGGCAAGAGGCTGGGAGAGGGGACACAGCTGGGACAGCTGACTCCGACCAGGCAAAGGCATCTGCAATCCCATGGGATGTCATACTCAGCTACAAACACTGCGGGGGAGTTCTCCCAAAGTAGCTGCTGCTCTGGGAATGGCTGGGCATCGGTCTCCTTGTTTGTGTGGGGATTTTTTCCCCTTCACTTATTAAAATGTCTTTATCTCAACCCATGAGGGCATTTTGGCGTTTGGGTTTTATGGTTGTTTTTCCCTGCTTTTGCCCTTCCAATTTTTCTCCCCCATCTCGCTGAGGTCGACACACCATAGTGATGTGGATCAACTTGTAAAGTGATAGCTCATCCTTGTTCTGGCTCTAAAAATAACATCGTTTCTACTAGACAACATTTTTGTACCTGATACTTTCTGCAGTACTTGTGCTTTGAAAAGGTAACATGAAACTAAATTCTAGGCTCAGCACTTCTGTCCTTCACACCAGTACCCTTTATATGCACACTTCAGAACACACACACTCGGTACAATGCAAATGGTGTTGTCCTACAAAATCTTGTGCATATATGAGAAAAAATAACCTATACACAACGGCAAGTTGCAGAAGAAAAAGCCAGTTCCTCTCAGATTAGTGTCACTACACATGAAAGCTAGTCTACAATTATGTACCAAGAGTTTTAAGGCCATTATGCAATCATATGGAACCACCTCAAGTAAATTCTGGTACACATATCAGTATTTTTTATGTAGTTGGTGGGATTGTGTCAATTCCAAGGACTTTTGGCTAAGCAAGCTCAATTTCCTCCAGATGCAGCTTTTTTGAGTGAGAAATCTCAGACAAGGAAGCAAGTTTCAGCTACGTGCCTGCACACCCAATGCTGAACATGTATTGCTTTGCTCATCCGTACAGCTTGGTCAGAAAACAAAGCCTGAAAAGCATTTATAGACCACAGTGTCCTCTCTACCCTTCTTCCTAGATTCCCTATAAACATACAGACCTTTAAAGACACTCACCCAAGACATGGGATGCTGCCACTGAGAGAGGTGCAAGCTGAGATAACTGCCTGACACCACTGTCCTCACCACATGGTAACACCACCTCTACAGATCAGAGCCCCAGCAGCTCTGGACAGTACAAAAGCACATGAGAAAGCCCACAGAACAGAAACAACGCCCACTGCTCCACAGGCACAAGGCAGGAGTCCCCTGAAACCACAGCTCACACAGTCACCCAGCACCGTTCCTGCAGTCACTTGCCTGGGGGGTGATGCCACACCAGAAGTTGGAGTAGAGAGAGCGAGACTCCAGCATCGGTGCCACCAAAGTCTTGTTTTCTGCTATCAACAGGTTCAGGGTTTGTGGATTGGTCAGTAAATTATCTGCATCAATAAACTAGAGAAGTAGGAGAGAAAAAGAAATTTGTTATTAGATGAAACAGTAACCCTGACACTTTCTTGGGAACAAGGCAACCAGAGGCATAAGCCTGGTAAAAAAAAATACATCAAAAAGCCATGAGCTGTGAGGGAAAATAACACTGCTGAAAATTCATGGCAGGATTACTCTTTGAAGAGGATCAAGAAAAACTCTTAAAACTGGCCTCACACCCTTGCCATCTTCAGAGGCTGGGAACACCTCTGTGAACCCTGCTGTAGTGACCCGAGGCACTTGTCTTCCCACAGCTGTTCTGCAGAACTATTTCCCTCACGTGTCATCAATAAGCAGTGGGGTTTCCATCCGGGGGACCCTTGCAGGTACCTAACTGCCACCAGGACTATATTCAGTCTTGACCTCTGTGGTGAAAGCCCAGGGGCTTCTCTCTCTAGCTGCAAAGTCTCTTGCTCATCAGACCATGAAATGACACACAGCATCTCACTACAGAGAGCTTTGCCTTTAGGTGGAGAAGGAACTATTTTGGCAGTCCCAAGTACTAGAGTGCACAGAATTCCAGCATGGTAGGGGTTGGAAGGGACCTCTGGAGATCGTCTAGTCCAACCCCCCTGCTAAAGCAGGGTCACCCAGAGCAGGTTGCCCAGGATCATATCCAGACATGTTTGGAATCTCTCCAGAGAGGGAGACTCCACAACCTCTCTGGGCAGCCTGTGCCAGGACTCTATCACCCTCACAACAAAGAACTATTTCCTCATGTTTAGGGTGGAAACTCCTGGGTTCTAGTCTGTGCCCACTGCTCCTTGTCCTGTTTCTAGGCATCACTGACAAGAGCCTGGCCCCATCATCTTGACTCCTGCCCTTTAGATCTTGAGAAACACTGAGAAGATCCCCTCTCAGTCTTCTCTTCTCCAGGCTAAACAGCCCCAGGGCTCTCAGCCTCTTCTCATCAGAGAGATGCTCCAGACCCCTCCTCATCTTCATAACCTTCACTGGATTCTCTCCAGGAATTCCCTGTCTCTCTTGAACCGAGAAGCCCAGGACTGGACACAATATTCTAGATGTGGCCTTACTAGGGCAAAGTAGTGAGGGAGACCTTTTCCCTGAGGACAGCTAATAAATCAAACCTTGTATTTACCAGGATGTAGTCTGACCACTTCTCTCGTGCAGCACGCAGGGCAGCTTGTCGGAGTTTCATCACATGAGTGAATCGGGAGCTTGGCCAATGTTTTGGCCCAATTTCTTCTGGGTAAGATCTAGGGGAAAAAAAAAAGTGACTACAATCTATGGCTGGGCCCTATTATACCAGTCAGGGGAGAAAAAAAAAAAAAAAAGTTAGAGTTCCTTTGCTGCTTTCTTTCCAAAAGAAAACCAGTGTTAAGAGTCACCTCAGGCAACCCAGGAGAGGTTTTGAGGGAGAACGATTCCAAGTTTCGTGCTGGCATGTGTACACAGGGCACTGGAGAACAAGCAGCACTGCAGCATTCCCTGCCAACCAAGTGCCCACAGCAAAACAGCACCATCAAACCCAGGAGTTTCTCCTACAGTGGTAGGCCCTCGCCTGACACAAGCAGAGGCAACCCCACCACAGTGCATTGAACCTGCCTGACCCTCTGATAGGAAGTCATCTGTCCTCTGCTAGGCTTTAAGTCTGCAAACGCAGCTTTCTTAAGCCCAGTGGACTCAGCAAAGCTGAGGAGGTAAAGACGAAGGCAGATTGGATTCCTTCAGAGTCTGGGCATTTTTAATAACTGTTAACATATCCCAATAACAGCTTTTCAATCTACAAGCACTCAACACCCAACCCCATGAGGCCAATCATGTGAGCAAAGTTATGTGCGTGTCTCTGTTTTCAGGATCAGGTCCAAAAGCAACTGCTTTGTAACGAAGATGGAAGGAAACAGGGACAGGTCCCTATGTGGAATAAAAATTTAGGACTTTGAAATAGTGCCAGCATAACCCAGAGCTAAGAATTTTTAAAACTTTTTATAGAACTTGAAAAAGCCAAGTTGACTGGATTAAGAAAACTCAATTTCAACTAAAGGATTAAAAAAAGTCAATGAAACAAGCATCCCCTGTGGGATTGTACCACAAATGCCCCACCAGTGCACTGGGGACCTTGAAAGTAAAAGTAAATAAAGGAGAAAGTGATGTACTTTTCCCTCATGTAAGAAACAGAAAACAACAAAACAAGGCCTAGCCAATCTTAAGATAAAAGAATAAATAAAGCAATAAAAATCCAACACACCTACATCATATTTGAAAGCAATGATCCTGCGATTCATGCAAAGGCATAATACACTGAATTAAATCCAGTTCTCTGCCTCAGAACTTACTGAATATTTGAGGTCTCGGACAGAACTTTCATAGGCACTACGGGACTCAGTTATGATTTCTCTGCTCCCTTGCAAATAAAGAATAATATTCTTTATTCCCTGTAGCTTTTGATGTGACTTGTTTACCATGCAAAGAGAGCAGCTGCAGATGCTACTAACAGAATGGAAAATGCTTTCTTCTCCAAAGTTCTGTACCAGTTGCTTCCATGAAGTCAGAGATCTTTTTACAGGCTCTGTAAGAACACAATTGTAATGGGACTGACCCCACAAAAAAAAAAACCAAAAAAAACCAAAAAAAAACCCAAAAAACAAATCCACATTGGACATTTAGTATATCTCCTGGTTTGAGAATAGAAAACCTAGAGAATTTGACATATATGCCAAAGAGCTTCAGTCAGTCCCTCACTGCAGTACTACTCACTGGGGGTCCTCCATTGGCCTCCACTCCACGTCGTGGTAGAGGTGCTGCACGTTCTTCAGCCACTCTCTAAGGACTGCTGTGGTGTTATCAACATTGTGGTCGGTGGCTGCCCTGGGAAAATAAGAGCACAAAGGAAGCCAGTTAGGTCCTTTGCCCTTTCCTAGCTGGTACAGGAGTCAAAAGGAAGCAGAACCCGTTTCTTACGGATGCACCCAGCTCCTGGCAGTACTTGGGGCCGCTCCACAGATGTGCAAGTCCCTGCTAAGGCACACAGCAGAGCCCCACTTCCCCACAGAACACCCCGCACACCACTCCCCCTGGACACAGTACTCCAGATGTGGCCTCACCAGGGCAGAGAAGAGGGGGAGGAGAACCTCCCTGGACCTACTGGCCACACTCTTCTTCATGCACCCCAGGACCCCACTGGCCCTGCTGGCCATGAGGGCATATTGCTGGCTAATGGTTAATATGTTGTCTACCAGGACTCCGGTGAGCTGCTTTCCAGGAGGTTGAAACCTCACCTGTGCTGATGTCCTGTTATTCCTCCCAAGGTGCAGGACCCTGCACTTGCCCTTGTTGAACTTCATGAGGTTCCTTTTCCACTCAACTCTGCAGCCTGTCCAGGTCTCACTGAACGGCAGCACAGCTCTGGTGTGTCAGCCACTCATCTCAGTTTTGTATCATCAGCAAACTTGCTGAGGGTTCACTCCGTCCCTTCATTCAGGTCATTCATGAATACGTTGAATATTCATGATGAATCATGTGGAAATGATCCCAGAAGAGCCACAAGCTCATGTCAAGCCCTTGGGTTACAGGGCAAGCAAGCCAATTCGCACCCCAGCTGCTTGTCTCCAACCTGTGCTCCCCTGGGACCACGACTTTGCACATCCAACACCTGGCCACTCACGTGGTCACTGTCACTGTGGATCCCACGGCAAATTCCCTGAAGTGAAAGGGCTGCCCATTTTTCCTGGCCAGAAGTCAGGAAAGCACAGCCCATGGCAGGACATGGCTTGTGCAGCCACAGCTCGGCAAGCTCCACTGAGAATTTACAGTCTCTTTGTATTCCTCTGCACGTGTAAATAAAAAGGTCTCATGGAGAGATTGCAAAAATTATGTGAAACACATTCCTATGGAGAGTGCTCTGCTAAGGCCCCATTAACTGCTATAAATTGCCTATTTTGTCCTCCAGTTCCAGAGACCTAAAGACACTTTCCAACAGCATCCTCCACCCTACTTCAAGCCAGAGATACCTGCTGTTAGAGGAGGACACAAGGAAGGGAGAAAGGGGCACATCCCAAACCCTGGAGTTACTCCAAGCTATTTCAGGAAAATATCTCCCACCCCAAGTCATTATACGATCCTCCAGATGAGAATTAGAGCATGAACCCTTTCTAGTTATCATTTCCATGTGGTTTAGCCTGCTTTAAATTAGAAAAGAATCAAGAATTCATATTTTATATTTATTTATAAATCAGAAGAACACAATCAATTAAGGACAGGAAGCTTATTTGTTGAGTATTTATTCCTGTCTATTAAACAATAAATAAAGTTCAGCAAGTGGACGGAGGCTGGCTTCCCTGCTATGAACTGCTGTCCTCTGACAGAGCCAGCCAGGGTTTAGCCGTAGCTTTAGGGTTTGCTCTTGACCAAGACCCTGGGCCAGGCTGCACTGCAAATGGAGTTTGCAAGGCTGTTTAACTGGGCTAAACCAGTCACAGTGCTGACGTGGTGGAACAGACCAAGTCGAACCTGCTCCGTGTGCATTACAGAGTGGAGCTCACCCGCCTGTGTCCCTGTTTTAACCCGCTTGCCTGGAACTCCCACGGCCACTGTGCATTTCACGAGCCTCCTTTGGCTGTCCTCCCACACTCCAGCTGCACGGTCGGTGAACAACAGCTCCAAAATTCCTAAAATACCAGAGAGCTGTGAAAATGGCACTACATTCACGGTCATCACTGGAGCTGCAGCGGCACCCAAGGAGCTCCTGCTATACAGTGGGACCACACCATAACCAGGCATCACACAAACCAAGCCCAAATGATGGTGGCCACGCTGAAAAACACTGGAGTCCATCTTACCCTACACTCTTTGCCAGGTCCAGGCTAGTTTAAGTATTCTGGAAACCCCTAAAGTAAGCACACAGCTCCCACGGTGTCGGGTCCATGTGTCTGTTTTCCTCAGCAAGTCTCATCCCAGTCCTTCCAACCACATATAAGATCACTGGGGACATGTAGAGGGCTTTGCTACCTTCTGGGGAGGGAAAGGGGAAGCTTCAGCTGTGTGCATGATAAACGAGTCCCAGCGTTATGCTGCCTGCTCCCTTGTCTCAGCCAGGAGGTTCTTCTCCATTCAGCCTGGCACACGCACAAGCCTTAAAGTATTGGTGGGAGATCTGTTTCCAGGGCTGTGCAATGGAAACCCCAAGTTCACAAATAAACCACAATCTCCTTAACAAAAAAAAAAAAAAAAAAAAGTTAAAATGTAGAATCATTAAATCCCAGAGAAAATTAACATGATAGAAGGCTGTTTCCTCAATTGCTCAGAGTTGTTTCATGAAGCCCAAAACTTTGAGTAGCAGAAGAAAGCTTAAATTTGAAAGACAGTGGTTGACAGAGTTACTGCAGGTTGGCCCTCAAAAACCAGCTGCCCTGCATAGCTAGTCCTTCTTTGCTTCCCCAGGCAAGACAAGGGGGCTGAAGGATGCTCATCCCATCACATCTTTGTCTGCAGCTCCCATAACAACAGACTGCAGAAGTTTTATTGCGTGGACACACCACCATCCTGAGAGAAGAGCACAGTACACCAAAGACTGCTACCACTTGATCTTGTCTACGCCTAAAGGCTGCCTAAGGAAGGAGTTTCCCCAATGGTCAGATTCCCTCAGATCTTGGGTTCTCCATCCTGCTTCTGGCAGGGCAGCATGCCCTTGACAAAATGCACCCTGGAAGATCCCAACAGCTAACATCCTCCAGACAGAAGCAAGACATGAATGAGCCTGGAGGAATCTCTAGATCTACCCATGAAGAAACAGCCAGAAGAAAACTGGCATTTTACTGCCCAGGCTGTAACGGTGTTATGGAGAAGGTAAATTCACATCCCAGTAGACCTTTATGAAGGCATTGATGAGACAAGGTTCTGGCACAAAAAAAGGACTGCCGTCTCCAGGACTATCCACCCAGCAGCATTTCTAAGCCCAGAAGTTCTCCAAGGCCATAAAGTTGTCACGCCCTGGATGAAACATGCCCTATGACTAGCAATTTGGCAACCTCTGTTTTTCCAGCTTTAAGCCTCAAAAAACACACAACAAAAATAAGAAGACAAACCCAAACAACCCAAACCATTCCCAAAAGCAATTATCACTATTAGTTTCAGAACAATTCACATTTAAGATCAAACAAAATCAGCAGTTACTCCTACTGTAATATCTGAACAAGTCCAAGCCTCCCAGAAAAATCAGCAGCAATGGTGTGTGCCGTATGATTGTATGGAAAAAACAAGCACTTTTCCCCCTCTTTTTTTTAAATGTCAAGAAAAACAAGCAAATAAAAATGTGATCAGGACTTCCCACTGGCAGCAAGACCTCCTCAAGCCATAAGAGGCACATCAGGATATTCCCCATTTTAAGCACTACTTCTGTAATAGCTTCTTGAACTCCCACAAATTTTATGAGCACACAGTAAAAACCTCTGTGCTCTAACTCAGATGGAGCAGCTGGACCTTGTTCATTCAGAATCCATTTTCAAGATACTAAGGCTATCTCTGCTGCAGATCTCACCACCACCACTGGTGGCCTGTTGCCCATGGTGCACATCTCCCTAGTTCTGGAAAACTGACTGTCCTTTCCATGGGTGATGACAGTCAGGAAGGGTTGAGACACACAGACAGATCAACCAACACTTGTGCTATGTCTAGTACAGGGAGAAAAGGCCATGAATCCCAACATGGTACAGTAGAAGGGACCTCTGGAGATCATCTAGTCCAAGCTCCCTGCTAAAGTGGAATCATGTAGAGGAGAGTGCCCATGATCAACTCCAGGCACGTTTGGAATCTCTCCAGAGAAGGAGACTCTACAATCTCTCTGGGCAGCCAATTCCAGGGCTCCAGCATCCTCACAACAAAGAAGTTTTTCTTCATGTTCAGGTGGAAAATCCTGGGTTCCAGCTTGTGCCTGTTGCCCCTTGTTCTGTTGCTGGGCACTCCTGACAAGAGTCTGACCCCATCATCTTGATCCCTGCCCTTAGATATTGATAAACACTGATCAGATCCCCTCTCAGTCTCCCTTCTCCAGGCTGAACAGCCCCAGGGCTCTCAGCCTTTCCTCAACAGAGCGATGCTCCAGACCCCCCAGCACATCCACAGCCTCCACTGGACTCTCTCCAGTAGTTTTCCTTGTCCCTCTTGAACTAGGGAGCCCAGAACTGGACACAAGACTCCAGGTGTGGCCTTCCAAGGGCAGAGTAGATGGGGAGAAGAACCTCCCTGAACCTGCTGACCACACTCTTCTTCATGCACCCCAGGACACCATTGGCCCTCCAGGGCATGAAGGCATATTGCTGGCTCATGGTTGATTTGTTGTCCACCAGGACTCCCAGGTCCTTCTCTGTGGACCTACTTACCAGCAAATCAACCCCTAACCTGTACTGGAGCAGGGGGTTATTCCTGCCCAGGTGCAGGACCTTCATAGGGTGAGAAGAGTGGACCACCTTAACATAGCTCCACTTAGCTGACCAAGAGCATAACTTAGAAGTTTAGAAGTCCACATGGCCCTTAGACTAAGGCAGTGCCTAGATTTTTTTTGGTGTATTTTTTGAAAGCAGGTTGGTGAACACAGCGCTATTATTTGAGTTTGAGTTGATCAGCATTATTCTTGGCCTGGTGTCAGGTTCAAATCACATTTTTTGAGTGGATCAGTTTGGAATGTTTGCACAGTCAAGACAAAGCAGGAGCTACAAGAAGATGTGCTAAGAGGAAGGTCTGGGAAGAGCAGAGGTGAACTGGCTAGCAAGGAGTACAATCCCTACTTGTCTTTCTCCAACATCTCATCATCTTCATGGCTCTCTGCTGGGCATGTTCACACTTGTTAACTTCTTTCTTCATCAAGGG